CAAGAGCAATATAAATATATAGGGGGAAAATTCAATAACACAACAGTTTCACCAAGCAGAAAGAAACGCAAGCAGTATGAAAAGACAAGGAAAGAAAGGACCACAAGCAATGCAGGTCACCTCAACTTTAGAAGAGGTAATAGCTGCAGCAGATGGAATGTCAGATAAAGAATTCAGGATTTACATGCTTCAGATGATCTGGAGTCTGAAGGAAGACATTAGAAAGCAAAATCAGGCAATGAAAGATCACTTCGACAATGAGTTACATAAACAAATCCAAGAAGCAAAAGATCAACTATATAGGGAGATAGAGGTTATAAAAAACAAACAGAAATCCTAGAAATGCAGGAAGCAATAAACCAACTTAAAAACTCAAATGTGAATACTACCAGCAGAGTAGAACACTTAGAAGATAGAACATCAGACAATGAAGACAAAGTATTTCAACTTGAAAAGAACATAGACAGCTCAGCAAGACTATTAAGAAACCATGAGCAGAACATACAAGAAATATGGGATAACATAAAGAGACCAAACTTAAGAGTCATTGGGATACAGGAAGGTATAGAGGTCCAAACCAAAGGAATGAGCAATCTGTTCAACGAAATAATAGGAGAAAACTTCCTAGACTTGAAGAATGAGACACAATCCCAAATCCTAGAAGCCTACAGGACGCTGAATGTGCAAAATCATAAGAGATCCACACCTAGACACATTATAATGAAGATGCCCAACATACAGAATAAGGAGAGAATTTTAAAAGCTTCAAGAGAAAGGAAGCAGATTACATTTAGGGGTAAACCAATCAGGATAACAGCTGATCTTTCAACACAGATTCTGAAAGCTAGAAGATCCTGGAACAACATATTTTAAACGCTGAAAGAAAATGGGTTCCAACCAAGAATTGTGTATCCAGCGAAATTAAGCTTCAGGATGGAAGAGGAAATTAAAACCTTTCACGATAAACAAAAGTTAAAAGAATTTGCAGCTAGAAAACCATCTTTTCAAAACATCCTTGGCAAAACATTATAGGAAGAGGAAATGGAAAATAACAATGAAAACCAACAGTGGAAGGTAGTACAGTAAAGGGAAAAATAATCAAAGAGGAAAAACAAACCATGTTTAGTAACATAAATAAACAAATATGGCTGGAAGAACAATCCATCTCTCAATAATAACCCTAAATGTTAATGGCATAAACTCACCAATTAAGAGACACAGGCTAGTAGAATGGATCAAAAAAAAAAAAAAAAAGATCCAACAATATGCTGCCTACAGGAGACGCATTTGATAGGAAAAGACATACATAGACTGAAGGTGAAAAGTTGGGAAAAATCATATCACTCATATGGACTTTGAAAACAAGTAGGAGTGTCCATACTCATATCAAATAAAATAGATTTCAAGCCAAAGTTAATCAAAAGGGATAAAGAGGGACACTACATACTGCTCAAGGGAACCATACACCAACAAGACATAACAATCATAAATATATATGCCCCAAACAATGGTGCAGCTATGTTCATTAAACAAACTCTTCTCAAGTTCAAGAGTCTAATAGACCACCATACAATAATTATGGGAGACTTTAACACACCTCTCTCACCACTGGACAGATCTTCGAAACAAAAGTTGAATACAGAAAGTATAGAACTCAATAATACAATTAATGACCTAGACTTAATTGACATATACAGAATATGCCACCCAACATCAAGCAGTTATACTTTTTTCTCAGCAGCACATGGATCCTTCTCAAAAATAGATCATATATTATGTCATAGGGCAACTCTTAGACATTATAAAGGAGTAGAGATAATTCCATGCATCTTATCTGATCATAATGGAATGAAACTGGAAATCAACGATAAAAGAAGGAAGGAAAAATCATGCATCACTTGGAGAATGAACAATAGGTTACTGAATGATCAATGGGTTATAGAAGACATCAAGGAGGAAATTAAAAAATTCTTGGAGATAAATGAAAACACAGATACAACATATCGGGATCTATGGGACAAAATGAAAGCAGTTCTAAGAGGAAAATTCATTGCCTGGAGTTCATTCCTTAAAAAAGGAAAAACCAACAAATAAATGATCTCACACTTCATCTCAAAATCCTAGAAAAAGAAGAGCAAAACAACAGCAAAAGAAGTAGAAGGCAAGAAATAATTAAAATCAGAGCTGAAATTAATGAAATCGAAACAAAAGAAACAATTGAAAAATATTGACAAAACTAAAAGTTGGTTCTTTGAAAAAATAAATAAGATTGACATACCCTTAGCCATGCTAACGAAGAGAAGAAGAGAGAGAACTCAAATTACTAGCATACAGGATGAAAAAGGCAATATCACAACAGACACTTCAGAAATACAGAAGATAATTAGAAATTATTTTGAATCCTTATACTCCAATAAAATAGAAGATAGTGAAGGCATCGATAAATTTCTTAAAAGTCATATGATCTACCCAGATTGAGTCAGGAGGATATAGACAACCTATACAGACCAATATCAATCAAGGAAATAGAAGAAGCCATCAAAAGACTACCAACTAAGAAAAGCCCAGGACCGGATGGGTATACAACAGAGTTTTACAAATCCTTTAATGAAGAACTAATACCAATACTTTTCAAGCTATTCCAGGAAATAGAGAAAGAGGGAGAACTTCCAAATTCATTCTACAAGGCCAACATCACCCTGATTCCTAAACCAGACAAAGACACTTCAAAGAAAGAAAACTACAGACCAATATCTCTAATGAATCTAGATGCAAAAATCCTCAATAAAATTCTGGCGAATCGGATACAAAAACATATCAAAAAAATTGTGCACCATGATCAAGTAGGATTCATTCCTGGGATGCAAGGCTGGTTCAATATACAGAAATCAATAAATGTTATTCACCACATCAATAGACTTAAAGATAAGAACCATATGATCATATCGATAGATGCAGAAAAGGCATTCGACAAAGTACAGCATCCCTTCATGTTCAAAACTATTTCTTGTAGAAATAGATAAAGCAATCATGAAATTCATATGGAAAAATAAAAGACCCAGAATAGCAAAAACAACTCTACTATTGCTCTATACTACAGAGCAATAGTAACAAAAACAGCATGGTACTGGTACCAAAACAGGCGGGTGGACCAATGGTACAGAATAGAGGACACAGAAACCAATCCACAAAATTACAACTATCTTATATTTGATAAAGGGGCTAAAAGCATGCAATGGAGGAAGGATAGCATCTTCAACAAATGGTGCTGGGAAAACTGGAAATCCATATACAACAAAATGAAACTGAATCCCTTTCTCTCGCCATGCACCAAAGTTAACTCAAAATGGATCAAGGAGCTAGATATCAAATCAGAGACACGGTGTCTGATAGAAGAAAAAGTTGGCTACGATCTACATACTGTGGGGTCGGGCTCCAAATTCCTCAATAGGACACCCATAGCACAAGAGTTAACAACTAGAATCAACAAATGGGACTTACTCAAACTAAAAAGGTTTTTCTCAGCAAAAGAAACAATAAGAGAGGTAAATAGGGAGCCTACATCCTGGGAACAAATCTTTACTCCTCACACTTCAGATAGAGCCCTAATATCCAGAGTATACAAAGAACTCAAAAAATTAAACAATAAGATAACAAATAACCCAATCAACAAATGGGCCAAGGACCTGAACAGACACTTCTCAGAGGAGGACATACAATCAATCAACAAGTACATGAAAAAATGCTCACCATCTGTAGCAGTCAGAGAAATGCAAATCAAAACCACCCTAAGATACCATCTCACTCCAGTAAGATTGGCAGCCATTACAAAGTCAAACAACAAGTGCTGGCGAGGATGTGGGGAAAAGGGTACACTTGTACATTGCTGGTGGGACTGCAAATTGGTGTGGCCAACTTGGAAAGCAGTATGGAGATTTCTTGGAAAGCTGGGAATGGAACCACCATTTGACCCAGCTATTCCCCTTCTCGGTCTATTCCCTAAAGACCTAAAAAGAGCATGCTACAGAGACACTGCTACATCAATGTTCATAGCAGCACAATTCACAATAGCAAGACTGTGGAACCAACCTAGATGCCCTTCAATAGACGAATGGATAAAAAATATGTGGCATTTATACACAATGGAGTATTACTCTGCATTAAAAAATGACAAAATTATAGAATTTGCAGGGAAATGGATGGCATTAGAGCAGATTATGCTAAGTGAAGCTAGCCAATCCCTAAAAAACAAATGCCAAATGTCTTCTTTGATATAAGGAGAGTAACTAAGAACAGAGTAGGGACGAAGAGCATGAGAAGAAGATTAACATTAAGCAGGGATGAGAGGTGGGAGGGAAAGGGAGAGAGAAGGGAAATTGCATGGAAATGGAAGAAGACCCTCAGGGTTATACAAAATTACATACAAGAGGAAGTGAGGGGAAAGGGAAAAAAAAAACAAGGGGGAGAAATGAATTACAGTAGATGGGGTAGAGAGAGAAGAGGGGAGGGGAGGGGAGGGAAGGGGGGATAGTAGAGGATAGGAAAGGCAGCAGAATACAACAGACACTAGTATGGCAATATGTAAATAAGTGGATGTGTAACCGATGTGATTCTGCAATCTGTATACGGGGTAAAAATGGGAGCTCATAACCCACTTGAATCAAAGTGTGAAATATGATAAGTCTAGAACTATGTAATGTTTTGAGTAACCAACAATAAAAAAATAATAATAAATAAATAAATCTCAAGTTAGGATTCAAGGGAGAGTGGCAGGAAATGTAAAAACAATTTGGTAAATATTAACGATTTAAAATTACTAAAGAACTTTACCAAAATTATTATTTAATTTATACATTTTATAATAGATAAAATAAAGAGAATATTTTTAACAGTTATTTGATACTTCTTTCCTTTTAGTAAAAGGTATGATCTCCTTATAACCCAGACATTATCTTATGATTCAGTGATTATGACAATGATAACAATTTGATATTTCACTTCTAGGTTAATCCCAAAATTGGTTTCGTTTTTTCATAAGCAATACAGCCGATGCCTACTGCAGGAAGCAACTTTATGATGTTAGGGGTGATACCCCTGTAAAATCCTCTTTTTCCTTCTTTCTTATATATTTCTTGGATGAGCTGAATCATAGGTGTTTTTTCTTGTTCCACCAGAGCTATAAGTTTAAAAAGATCAGTATAATTCAGTATTTAATCTCTATGTATTAAGATAGTTCAATGATAAATTAGAATTTACAGAAGTTGAAATTACTTCAGAGTATGCTTCTCTCCCTTCGTATAGAATAGTCCTGTGCTGTTCAATATGATATCTATAAGACACATGTGGCTACTAAGATTTAATTAAAATTAAATAAAACTAAAAACTGAGCTCCTCAGTCACAGTAGTAACATTTCAAGTGCATGAGAGTCAACCACATATGATTAGTGACCACTGTAGTAAATAGTACAGTTATAAAATATTTCCATAACTGCAGAAAGTTCTATTGAAAAAGCTGAAAGTTTTCACAAAGCATCTCCAAGGAGCATTTGGAATTACATATTATACAGGTAGTTCGATAGAAGAATGGATGTGTGGTAGAATGGAGAGGGAAATGCAATACAAATTAAATATGCAATATAAATTAAATCCCAAGGCCTAACTAAAAAAAGAGGAAGAAAGAGAATGTAAAAGAATCTCACATGCCATGTAAACTCCTTAAATGGTTCACTCAAGAAGATTATGGGATAATGTGAAGTTGTTTATTTTATTTTATTCTTTAAAAGTCATAAAGGTATTTTCTTAAAATCTAAATTTCTAAATTTCACTCTGAGAGGAACAAAGCAGATATCATCCTTCTGATTAATGACCCCTCCTTAAGTAGACTGAATCAATGTAAGTGAGTTCAGTTCCACAAATATATTAAGTTCCCAATGTGGGACATGATGGTGATAGCAGAACCAAGAAGAAAAAACTTTGTTTCTATGGGGTAAACTTTGATTAAGTTTGAAGGGACAAAACCTTTTCTATTGTTCTACGTGGTATTTTTGAATCTAAATAAAAACAAAAACTCCTCAATGAGATCATCAGTTACTGAAGAAAATGTGGAGCATTCCAAAGAGAGCTTTGAAGAAGAAATAAAACCTACAATTCACAAAAGGCTCTAGTCAATTAAATTATTATTTCAAATTTCATGCTTTAAATTAGAGAGTTAAATTTTGCTTTATTTATAAGTTTTTATAAGTTCTTCTGTTTTTGAAATCATTAATTTATACTTATTTAAAAGATACTACTTAATTATTACTTCATTAAAAAGACAAAACTCACCATCAGCCTGCATGCGAGTTCTAATGAGATACAGAGGGAAGCTGACTAACTGACCACAAGTGTGAGACAATGTACTACAGGCCAGCAAAATTATTACCCCAGGGTTTACAGAGTCTTCTGCATAGTGCTTCAGCCAATGATTCTTAAAAAACTGGCAGAGAGAGAATAATAAATATCCTTTTAACTACTACGCAACTCTAAGATGAATAAACTTTAGTACAGAGAGGCTACTGCACTGACATATCAAGGACAGGAAGCACAAATGTTTTCAAATAAGTAACCTGAATTTTGAGTTCTCATATGTTTGTGTTTCTCTGTGTGTTTTATTTTTTTATTTATTTTTATTTTTTGTTGTTTTTTAGGGGGGGTATTTTGTTTTGTTTTCCTTTGCTTATTTATTTTGGTTTTAAAGATAGAGACCAGAACAAAGTTCTGAAGATTCTCAGAGATTAACAAAATATTATAGAGAGGAAGACTGCACAATCTACTACAGGTTAATGAAACCACACTTTCTCAGTTTTTAAGAGAGACTCTCTTTCCAAATTTTCTTTTCCTTGAATAAAAGTGGCTGGAAAAAATATTTATAAATAATAGGCTTAAAACATCACTGAGTGCTTTTAGAACTGTTCATTTATAAAGGGTAGCAGCTACTTTATTATTATGTACTGACAATTATCCAAATGTAGAATTTGATGTTTTGAAAAATAAATTCCATAATGTCTTTCCATGGTACACACTTATTACAATCATGTAACAATAAAAAGAGAAGTAGTACACTGGTATGAAAGCTACAGATATTAAACTGTAGACATAAAAGAATGGAGAAAGCCCATTTCTTCTGTTTATACAGAAGCAACACATTTATTTTAATAAGATCACAGAAACCAGGAAACACAAAGGAAAGGAAAATATGTGCCATAATATTCATACTCTAAACATCTACAAAAATATAATTTATTTGTTATAGTGATAAATGCGATGAGCTATTTTTCACATGATGGAGGTACTGCTTGCCAAAAATACTACAGGCCTATGCCTAGAAAGCTCTCCTTTCCATATTGAGAATGAAATCTGAGTTATTCTAATCATACACTCCCACCTAGTTCTTACATACAAATGGTGAATGTTGTTAAAATGATTTTCCTGAGACAGATGTAGGAAATGACTGGCTAAAAGGGAGTATCCTAGAGTCCTGCCTCATCAGGACAGCCTGTCAGGATTTTTAGCCTATCTCCATGCTGGCTCTCATTTCCAACCCAGGTATTTCTCCCCTCAGGTCTAATCTTCCTAGATGGCAATGATATGTTCATGTTATCAATCTTACCTGCACACAGATTCTTCTGGGCAGTCAAAAAACCTGGATCCCAGACTTCTCCCTGGGATGATTAAGTCAGAAAGTCTCAGGAAATAGCTCAACAATCTTATTTTTTAAAAGATCTACATATAGATGATTTCAATTTTGCATCCAGGGTTGAAAACCACTATATTATTGGAATATCTATCTATAATCCTTACCAAGAAGTAATTCACCAGAAAAACCCTAAAATTATTAGTTATTATTATTTTGTTTTATATGTAAATATAAAATTATTTTGTTTTATATGTAAATATAAAATAACTTATATTTTATATTTACATATAAAACAAAAATAAAAACATTCAGTTCACTCCTCAGTCAAAAGCTGCTTAATGAAAAGTGATTTATAATCAAGTTTTTAGAATAAAAACCTGTTGTGCATATTCTCAAATTTAACTCATAACGTCACATTTTGAGAAAGAACTCACCTCATAAACAGCAAGATCTATGCCTGCATAAGGTACAATGCCTAGCAAGTTAGGAACATAGCCTTTAAATAAAGCTCGGATACCCTCTTGTTTCAGAAGCTTCATGCCACAGTCGACAATCCCTGAATACTCTCCAGTGTTAGCCACAGCCAGTCTAGTCTTTATTACCTATATATGAAAGAACATAAGAAATATATATTTATTAGATTCACTCTGCTAATCTAGCAAACTAGTGAGGCTTATTGTACCATGATGTTTACAAACTTTTATAGAAACCAAAAAGAAAACAACCATAAACAATAACTATAATTTTTCAACAGCTAGGTCTTACTTAGCAACAGCAAATACATTAAAAATATTCAAACAAGAAAATTAAGCAGTGTGCTTTTAATGTGCTATAAGGCAACATGTTCTGAAACAAATTCATTTGAAATAAAAAAACCCAAAATATGTGGCCATGTTAATGTGAAAAAACAATAGGAAAAAAATTCTATATATGCTTAAAATGTACACTGAGGGAAATAGTAAGACCTATAATATATAACTTAAAATAACTCTGGGCTCTTAAAGTAGTGACATCACAGAAACTACAAAGACAACAGCAGGCTCCAGCTGACTCTGTAAATATTCCCAAGCCAGATACAATTCTAATAGTCTCATTCCTTGTCTTAATTTCCATTAACTTAATTAAAAGCCACTCTATACATGCTTGGAGAAATTGCTCTCTCAAACAGGGAAGACAAAAAATAATAAATTTTGTCTTGTTTGGGCAAACTACATAACTTGGTGGGGCTGCCTCTGTTCCATCAATAGGAAGTCTTTTGCTTCATGAATCTTTCTGCAGAACCCATTCTTAAAATTTTCTGTCTTCTCCAAGGAAGTGTGCTTTCCTCTTACACAAGTGAATCTTCACTGTCATGCTTTTATTTTCTCTTCTTATTCCCTAAATTAAGATCTCAAAGGTTTTTTTCTCAGCATTAAAAAAGAAAGAAAGCAACAAAACAAAACCCTTGCATTTTCCTTAGGCAATCTAATGGCTTCAATTAACACCTCTCTGCAGATGGTATGCCAAGATTTGAAATCTCAAGTCTCAGTATCATATTTGCAACTGCCTGCTGAAAATAATAACTTGGTTGTCCCACCAACTGCTACAATTAAATAAATGTAGATCTGATCTCATCTAGTTCCCTTCCTCATCCTCTACCTCTATTAGGACTCTAACCTAGACACAACTCTTCTAACACTCAGGCACACAGCCCACAGACTTTTTCACTTTGTTCCTTCCAGTTTTTCCTATTTTCCATTTTTCAAGTTGTCCATTCTCACAAGAGCTCTAAGAGGAGTCAATTTTCCCTATAATTTGAGCTCTTATTATCATTTCCCTGACTGAGGGAATGATCTCTCTAATCTCTTCTCAAAAAAAAAAAAAGTGAGACAAAGAAAAAGAAAAAAAATGGATACAATAACCAAGATCACATTGCAGGCTCCAAAGTCTTTAATGGCTTCTAATTTTTTGAGGAATGAAAGTTAAATTCAAGAGGCTTTCCTATTGGGTCCCAACCTTTCACTTAAAAGTCCAGTCCAAAACTAAACACACTGACATTTTTAACCTCCATTCCTTTGCTCAAGCTGTTATGTCTGCCTAAAATGCCTTTACTCATAATCCTTGCATGCCAAATTCTAAGCCATGCTCACACATTTTATTCCCCGCTTTCATGAAATCCCTAGCTAAAAATAATTTCTCCCCTTTGAGTTTCCATAACATGGTATATGGATCTCTCTCCTAGAATTTACTGTTTCTATTTTGAATCATCATTAATGTTGTATTTATTTTCCCTTCTACTATAAATTACATGATCAAAATCCCTGTCCAACTCTTTTCTGGATCCCGCATAACAGCTAGCTAAGTAAAACAGCTAAACTTAGTGGGTACGCTATCCAAATTTCCCTGATTACTAAACAAATGATTCTATCCATCCATCAATCAAACAATAAATTACTGTCTATCTCCAATACTATCTTTGTTTTAAAAAAACACTGAGTTCAAGTGACATGAGATTTAAAATCTGTAGCTATAAAACAATTTATTACATTATTATATAAAATACTTATCTGGAATTCATTCATAAGAAGTTATAATTTGCATTAAAACATGGTTTTAGTTAAAATTTTATACTAATACATACCTCCATGGGGTAAATACAGGTCTGGGCAGTTGCTCCAGCCAATGAACCAGCTATAAATCTTTCAAAAATTCCTGTATTAGAACCATCAAAACTAAGCCATTTCTTAAACTGTGCAAACAAAAGTATTAAAATGTATAGTATTAATGAAATGTAATACATACCTTTCTAAATTTATAACATTAATAGTATAAATTTATGTTAAAACATATCAGATAACTGACATTAGCACAACCCAGTAGAATACCTGATTCCAATTACTTGTATTTATTACAAAGTTAAGTAAAAGTCCTCTATTCAGTCTCCTTTTTCCTTTTTCTTTGTGGAATAAACTAATAGGAGTGTTAAATTACTTAAACATATTCATGAATGTGTTATTTCATATGTGGCATGCAAATTACACAAAGGGGACAAGGATTGTATTATTTTCTCCCCCTGGTACTGGTGATTGAACCCAGGGGCAATCTATGACTTACTTATACCTACAGACTTTGTTTTTTTAAGACAGGATCTCACTAAACTGCCCAGACTGACTTTGAACTTGTGATCCTTCTGCCTCAGCCTCCTGAGTAGCTGGGATTAACAGGCAGACACCACCATGCCTGACAGGATTGTACCTTTTATCACTTTTTAGCATCATGCTTTACACATAGAAAACACTTAACATTGTTTGGTTACTGGATAATCAGGAACAGTAACAACATGAGAGGCTCTTTTTGTTATAAGGCATAGTTTATTCCAGTTAGCTCAAGTAATGGGTAAGCTATTATAAAAACATGTAGAAAAAAGGAAAACAGAAATCTAAACCTAAAAGTGAAGTTTTAACAAGAACTAATGTAAATCATAACACATGAATGGAATATGTAATTTAAATGAGAAATGAACCATGAACAAAGCCCACCCCCTTTCATGTTCTTACAAACATATCTTCAGTATATCACTCAAACCTATTAAAATTCTCATGTGTCCTGGGAATCCCCCTATCTTCAGAGAACCAAGCAATCATTAGAGGTTAGGGCATGAAAGGAAAAGGGAATGGCTAGACTTTCCTGTCAAAGGAAGAGGGCTTTCAGTGGGTAGAATAAAAGAAAAGGTCTTTGAAGGGGTTGAAGAGAAAGCCTGAACATAAGCTTAAATATCTGACTTTACCACCTACTCTAAAAGAGCCACTTCACTCAGTTGAAAACCAAAATGGACTACCAGTAGCTGCTGAGGAACCATCTAAAATATTTTTTTTTTTTTTTTACAGATGACCTTTGGGAACACTTAACATTGTAGCCCTTCCAAACAGAATGACATCAGAGTAAATGTAGCCAAGAAGAACCTAACTTTTACACTTAATGGTTTTATTTCAATATTTCATATATTTTAATAAACTTACTTATGTGAGTATAATTTAATTTTAAAGTATTTGGGAAATATATTTAGTACAGTTGTGCCTGAGAAAAGGAAAGAAAAAATTAATTTTCTAGTTTTACAGATGCTTCCAAAATTCTGTCTAAAGATTCATTAATCTACAGTTACTCAGCTGCAAAATATTACTTCTGATCCACAGACTTTGTATATGAACTATTAAATCCATTAGATTGACAACAATTCCTGCCACCTACTTATTTCCACATTTTTATTGGTGCATTATACTTGCACATATTGATAGGCTCTGTTGTTACATGTGTACATGCATACAATGTAACAATATAATTTGGCCAGTGTCACCCCCCAGCACTTCCACCCTCTCTTCCTGCCTCCTGCCCCCTGGTCCCTTTCCTCTACTGATCTCCCTTTGATTCTCATGAGATCTGCCCCCACCTTTCTTTTCCTCTTCTTCTCCAGCTTCCACATATGAAAGAAAATACAGGACCCTGACTGTGTAAGTTTAACTTATTTTGCTTAACATGGTGGTCTCTAGTTCCATCCATTTTCCTGCAATTAACATAATTTCATTTTTCTTTATGGCTAAATAAATCTCTTTTGTATATGTATACCATGTTTTATTTATCCATTCACCTGCTGATGGACACCTAAGCTTAGTTCCATAGTTCCATCATTGTGAACTGTGCTGCTATAAACATGGGTATTCATGTATCTCTGTAGTATGATGACTTTAATTCTCAGGATAAATACTGAGGAGTAGTGTAGCTGGGTCATATGGTGGTTCCATGCCTAGTCTTTTAAGGATCCCCAATATTGACTTCCATAGTGGTTGTATTAATTTATAATCCCACCAAGAGTGTAAAAGGGTTCATTTTTATCCATATCCTCCCCAGTGTTTATTATTTTTTGTATTCTTAAAATATTTTCCCATATTTTTATTTGTTCTTTTTAGATATACATGACAGAAGAGTATATTTTGACATATTATACATACATGGAGTATATCTTATTCTAATTAGTATCCCATTCTTGTGGTTGTACATGATATGGAGTTACAGTGGTTGTGCATTCATATATGAACATAGGAATTACTTGTATTCTTGATGATTGCCATTCTGACTGGTGTGAGATGAAATCTCAGTGTAGTTTTAGTTGGCAATTCCCTAATTGCTAATGATGTTGACCATTTTTAAATATATTTGTTGACCATTTGTGCATTTCTTCTTTTGATGATGTCTAACTCATTTTCCCATTAATTAATTGGGTTATTAGATTTTTTAGTGTAGAGGTTTTTAAAAATTCTTTATATATTCAAGACATTAATCTTCTGTAGAAGAGTAGTTAGTGAAGATTTTCTTCCATTCTGTAGGTTCTCTCTTCCCATTCATAATTATTTCCTTTGCTGTGTAGAAGTTTTTAATTTGATGCCATCCTATTGATTAACTCTTCTGCACCTACACTAAAACAACTAATTTAATGAGAACATCATTTTCTTACTCAAGAATTTATCTTTTAAGGGAACCTGATCATATGTGAAAGCAGTCAATATTCCTCTGAATGACAACGTGACTCAAGTATTTTGTTATAGTAACAGGAAGCTGTATTTTCTAACACAGAAAATAGGTACTAAGAAATGAGACCATTGAGAATTTTAGTAGGTACATGTAGAAAAATGTAGAAAATCAACTCAAACAAATTAAAGACTTAAGACGTAAAACTAAAATTATTAGAGGAATATCTTCTTTTATAAGTGATATATCTTTATTAAAGTTGAATTAAAATTAAATGTTTCATATAAAACATTGGAGGGAGCTTCTTGATAATGATCACAGTAATGATTTTTCAGATATGACCTCAAATTACAGGCAACAAAAACAAAAATAAACAAGTAGAGCATTATTAAACTATAAAATGTATGCACAGCAAAAGGAATAATCAACAAAGTGGATTTAAAAAGCAAACGACAGAGTAGAAAAAATAAACACAAACCATATATTTGGTAAAGAATTAATATCCAAGATATATAAGGAACTACTATAACTCAATAGCAAAAGATACAAATAATCTGATTTTAAAATGGACAAATGTCTTGAATAAACATTTCTTCAAAGAAAACATACAAATGGCCAACAGTTATATGAAAAGGTGCACACCATTCATCTTCAGGGAAATACAAACTCAAACCACAAGGACATATCTCCTCACAACTGTTAGAATGACTATTATCATAAAGTCCAAAGATGACAATATGGAGATTCCCATAAAAACTAAAAATATAACTACCTTTTATTTTACTGGTTTTATATTTGTTATTTTTAGATATTCATGACAAAGGGTATATTTTGACATTTTATATATATATGGAGTGCAACCTATTATAATTTTGATCCAATTCTTGTGGTTGTGAATAATGTAGAGTCACAGTGGTCATATATTCATATATGAGCATAGGAAAGTTATGTCCGATTCATTCTACTGTCTTTCCTGTTCCCATTCTCCCTCCCTTCTTTTTGTCTAATCCAATGAATTTCTATACTTCCCCTTCCTTCCCTTCCTTGTTATGGGTTAGCATCCATATATCAGAGAGAACATTCAGCCTTTGATTTCTGGGGTACTGGCTTATTTCACTTAGCGTGACATTCTCCAGTTCCATCCATTTACTGGCAAATTCTTCTTTATAGCTGAGTAGTATTCCATTGTGTATATATACCACACTTTCTTTATCCATTCATCTGTTGAAGGGCATGTAGGTTGGTTCCATAGCTTGGCTATGGTGACTTGAACTGCTGTAAACACTGATGTGGCTACATCACTGTAGTATGCTAATTTTAAGTCCTTTGGGTATAAGTCAAGGAGTGGAATGGGTTAAATGGTGGTTCAACCCCAAGTATAACTACCTTTTGATCCAGTAATCATACTTCTGCATATGTATATATCCAAAGGAAATAAAATCAGTATCTCAAAAAAGATATCTGCAGTTCTGTGTTTATTTCAGCATTATTCACAATAGCCCAAATATGAAAGAAACCTAAATGTCCACTGATGAATAGATAAAGAAAACATGGTATATGTACAACACAATTATAAGATACACAGAAAATTTAAAAGACTGAATAGTCTTTTAAATAGTAAGTAAATCCTGCCATTTTTAACAATATGAATGAACTTGGAAAACATTATGCTAAATCAAATAAACCAGATGCCAAAAGACAAACATTATTTTGTATGTGCAATCTGAAGGTAAAATGATTGTTGGCAAGAGGAGAAATGGGGGGATGTTGATCAAGGGACACAAAGTTTCACTTATACAAGATAAATGAATTTTAGAGATCTCTTATATAACAGTGAATATAGTTAACAATATTGTATTGTACACTTGAAATTTGCTAAGAGGATAGATATGTATATGTACTCATATATTAAAACATAAATTATGTTTATACCATAAATAAACTATTTTAATTTTCAATTACATATCAATAAACCAGAGGGAGAAGACGAAAAACAATATAAGAAATAATAGCATCACTTGATGTCAAAGAATCAACTAGTATTTTTTTAAGTTAAAAGTTTACAGGAGAAATTCATGTGATTCATTTTGATATTTCTAAAATGATTTATGTACAGAAAAGAATTCAGCATGCAAGAGAGTGGTGTCCCTTGAAAGTCCTGTTTGCAAAGTTCTCCCTTGGCTTCTATTTGGGAACTTGGATTTGGGGAGGGTTCCCATCATTCTCTGACAAGAATGGCTCACTGTGCATAAACTCTTTACACAGACAATATAACTTATGCTGAATGCCTGCTTGTTTTGATACATGCTAGGCAGAGAGACCAGCCCTAATAAACCTTGGGCACAAAGACTCTAACGAGTTTCTCTGGTAAAGATCATTTTATATGTGTTGTCACAATTCATTGCTGAAGTAATCAAGCAAGAGCTCTGGAAAAGGACCTTTTTGAAAGCCTACTTCTGGTTTCCTCTGAACTTCATCCCATCCACCTTTGCTCTTCGTCAATATTGCTTTGTATCTTTTCATTGTAATAAATCAGCTATAAGGAGGTCTATATGCTAGAGTCCTGGAAGAGCTCTTAACCCCGTGAGGTGATGTACCCTGGAAAGGCTAGCAGGAACCAAGATGAGGCCAAAGATAAGAAGTGGGAAACCTGCTGCTTTCTCTAGTCAAGTCTTGTTCTAAACAGGGAAAGTGTGTCCATGGTTGCTTATTGCCAGTGTGGCAGACTAGAAAGAACTGTGAAGCCAAAGTCCTAATTAATAATGAACAGTGCATCACTGGAGCACTCTCTGTGTTGTCCTGTGTCACCATGAGTAGTGAGGATGGCATATTGATGACTTAAGGTCTAGGCCATTTTTTCCCACCTGTATGTGATATCACAAATAACAACCTATATGTTCCTGGTAACAATAAGGAATACACAGACTTTCCTGATTCTTTTGTACTTTTATAACATGTTGTTTTTGTACACTAAATTGGACGAACCCTCCTTAAATTTCAACATCTAATTCTTTAAAATATTTTTTAGTTGTTGATGGACCTGTGTTTTATTTACTTATATGTGGTGCTGAGGATCAAACCCTCACACATGCTAAGCAAGCGCTCTACCACTGAACCACAACCCAGCTCCCAAGAACTAATTTTGATAGAAGTAAAGTCTAGAAGAGCAGATCAACTATTTCTATCTTGTTTACTCATGTAGCCCAAGACTACAGCATAAGACCTTGCTCACGGTAGCCACAGAATAAATATTGGAATCCAGGAAATTGCCAAAATTCAAAACCTATTGTAAGCAAGATTTTCTACATCTGCATGCTTCCTGATATCACGATATTCAGGACTACTAACTTCAACTGGATCCTTTGTACCCAGCAATCTTATTTCCAATTTAGGGTACAAAATTTCCTCTATAAGCACTTTAATTGCCATATGCAAAAAAAAAAATTTTAAAGAATTACTACAAGGTATACAATTAAGATGAAAAGTTTGAGCCACATTCAAAGCATTCTTGGGCACTTATGTGACACAAATAACATATAATATTCAAAAGTAAATGTAGTTCATCTCAAAGTAAATTATCTAAGCCTCTGAAGTAAAATCCTAAATCAGATTAACAAATTTTTTAATTCAATGTATATTTCTCATCTGTTATTCACTTGATTAAATTGAGATTAATCCTTTACTTAGTAATAAATGAACTGAAACATTTAATTCCACAAAACATTCAAATTATTTAAAGGAAAAAACAATTATGAAATGTTTTTATGTCACATTATGACAGTGAAATTAGAAGAATTACTAACAAACATCAGTTTTGATGATATAATGTTATCCATGCAGCCTTTCTTTGTAGATAATAGCAATATGCAACCAGTCATCAAATGAAAATAAAATTAATGTTTACATTGATAACTATTGCTTATTCCCGTTTTCTCTTTCATAAAAGTCTAAATTTTTATATTACATTAAAACCTAATCTTCATTTAAAATTCCTTAGCCAATAACATTTACCTGTTCATAGGCCCCAATCTTGAGTGCCGTCTCTGGTGCAATTTTGATAATATTTGTACCATTTCCTCGCCAAAGAGAAAAAATTCCTCCTTCGTTTACCATCTGCTCAAACACACTCATCAACCTCATTCTTCTTGTCTTTAAACTATGAACCTGGAAATAAATAGAAAATCTATTTATTCTTCAGTTTATTTTTCTGACAATATAGCATTGGTATTACTAATGACATAATTATACATACATATATGAATTCATAATTTTTCAATCCCCAATTTAATTTTCCTTCAGTGACATATAAAATTGATATATTAATATTTTCTTGTATCCAAACATATATTTTAATCATAGCAGTCCCCCTATATCCATAGTTTGAATTCCATGGTTTCCATGGTCCAAATATATTAAATGGAAAATAACAAAAATAAATCATTTATATGTTTTAAATTACATACCATTCTATGCAGCATGATAAAATCAGGCTGTCCAGCTCCACTCTATCCTCCAGGGTCATGAATCACCACTTTGTCCAGTATATCCACGCTATGTACATAACCCACCCATTAATCACTTAGTAGCCATCTCGGTTATCACATTTACTGTTCTGGAATTACCACAATGCTTATGTTCAAGTTACCCTTATTTCACTTAATAATGGTCCCAAAGTACAAGAGTAGTGATGTTTGCAATTTGGATATGTCAAAGAAACACTGTAACGTGCTTCCTAGGTGAAAGTCACATAACTTTCATTATAGTATAATATTGTAATTGTTATACTTTATTATTATCAGTTGTTGTTGTTAATCTCTTACTGTACCTAATTTAAAAATTAAATTTTATCATGGGCATATATATAGGATAAAACATTGTACATATACGTTTTGTACTATCTGAAGTTTTAGTCAACCACTGAAGGTATTGGAATATAATAAAAAATCAAAGAAAAGAATAACTTATGGAAGACAGAAATAAATTAATATTATAAGATTGTAACAGTACATTTAAATATGCACTGAAAAAAGAATGAATGAAAACGTATTGAGCTTTTCAATAATGTATACTTAGGGGTATCGCAGTATTAGGAATTGAACTGTACCCCTCAAGATTCATATATTAAAGTCCTAATTCCTATTCCTTCAGAATGACCTAATTTGGAGATAAGGTCTTTACAGATATAATCAAATTATAATGAGATCCTCATGGTGTACTGTAATTTATACAACTGCTATCCTTATAAAAAGGAGAAATTTTGGTACAGAGATGTAACATAGATTAGGAGAAGAGTAACCAGGAACAGACTCTCGCTCATATCCCTCAGAAAGAACTGACCCTGATAACACCTTAATTTTGGACTTTAAGCCTCCAGAATTATGAGACAATAGATTTCTGTTGTTTAAGCCCACTTGTGGTACTTTGTTATAGAATTTCTAGCAAAGGAACACATGAGAATTACAGATCATTTTAATGTCTGCCTTTATGATTTTCTGTTTTCCTATTTTTTCTAATATATTATTTTATAATAAGATGTTATTTTTAAGAAAGTGAAAGTTAAATTGTAGTAAAGCACCCTCTAAGAGAACAATAATGAGCAAGCAAGGCAAAATGGGCATTCTCATCTTCTGTTAGAACAAATCTGAAAAATAATTTAGCTGTATATGTGTGCATGCATGCACACACAAATACACACAGCCTTAAATATGTTCATCATTAAACTTTCAGGAATTTTTCTGAACAAATAATCCTAAAATGAAAAAAGGTTCAGGTAATGATGTTCTGTCCATCACAAAATTATGAATAACAGTTTTAAAAGAGGAGAATTTAGGTCATCTACATGCATAAGAAACTTTTAAATGACAAAATAAGGTATGACACTTCCACTTGAAATATTACCTAGTCATTACAAACTGTATTTGAAGAATATGAAGTAATGTGAATATGACCATGTTATACTATTAATCGCAAAAAAAGATCAATTATTTAAAAGTAATCACTATTCTGCAAAAAAACATAAAAAGACAAGAGGTAATACACTAAGGCATTATTAATAACTATTCTGAGTGATGAGAAGATAGATAACTTCTTTCTACTGTCCTATTTTCCAGATTTTTTGTAGGCATGTATTTATTTTCTTTTGAAAATAAAGTATTTAAAACTCAAAACAAATAGCTAAAGAAAATTAAATATGTCTTTGATGAAATAGTAATAGTTCTACTTTCTCATCTTTTTTCTCTACAAAAAAATGACAGCCTTCATTTTGTGTACTATGTAACAGACATTATGCTAAACACTTCATAAAACCTAATTTATTTTCCCCTCATTTCCATGTGTGGGGAGTGAGGGGTGAGGGGGATCCAACCCAAGGCCTCATCCATGCTAGGCCAAGTTGTCTACCACTAAGTTACCCACCCCCTAGCCAAATCCAACCACCTCCCTGCATTAAAATAACTCTGGTGAGATGATTCTCATTTTATAGCCCCAACAGGGAGTGGTCAAATAAAGTATATCAAAGATAAAGTATATCAAAGTCTGAATTCAAACCCAGGACTCTCTGACTATAAATCCTTGCAATTAAGCTGTTTTAGACATGTGTCTTTTTGTATTTCACAGTATTCCTTTTCAGATGCATGAAGCTCAAAGAGTAATACTTCCTTTAGTAAGAGGGCAAGTTTTAATGAACCTATTTCACTGCTCAATATATTTATAAATGAAAGCCTAAACAATCAGAACAGTGTAAAAGGACAGACTTCTTCCTTCCCTCCCTCCTTCTCCCACTTCCTAATCTTCCCTTCTTTTTCCCTTCCTCTCTACTTTTGCCTCCCTATTTCTAACTCATTTCCCCCCATCATCTTCCCTCCTTTTGTCCTATTTATTCTCCATGTTTATTTTCTTTTCTGTCTCCCATCCTCTTCTCTTTCCCTTTTCTTTTTTCATTCTTTCCACACCTCCTCTATTTGGTACATACCTTTTCACTCTCCCTAATCCAGTCCATTTTCTTCTGCTCAGAAAACGGATCATCACTGCTTTCTGTCTCTATGACACCCATATAGTTTATATCTTTCACAGAACAAAAACTTAGAAGTGACAATGATTAATTTCAATATCACCATACCACCACCATCATCATCATCATCATCATCGCATAGCTATGTTGTGGAGTATCTCTATCAGGTTCTGGATCAAAAACCTGGTTTCCTCAGTAACTTTGCTTCTCAGAAAATAAAAAAATGAGGTGTAAATGGAAAATATACAGTATAGTACGTTGCTACACAGAGACATATTGGGAGATGATCTTTAGCAAATAAACCCAGTGAAGAAACCAGGTTTTTGATCTTTATATGTAATAGAGAATTTTGGAGTGTTACTCTTTCCTAACAACTGACTGAATTTAGTCACTAACTGGGGAATCAAACACTCAGAAGGATGATGGGTTGTCTTATTACCTTACTTCAAAGTGTGTTCCCAACACTTAGTCTGTTGAATTAAAGGTCGTTATTTCTACTGGATACATTAACCAAGATATCATTATATATTTATGTGATAAGTGATCTGGATACATTAACCAAGATATCATTATACATTTATGTGAGAAGTGATAAGGACAGGGAAAATGGTATGTACTCCCTTTAGGTGTTCCCACAGTACTATGTGTATTCTCTGGATACAGAATAACATAGGTCTCATGTTTCATTACTTACTTGCCTAATTATTGCCTTTTATTATTACTTGCCTAGTTATCTATTTTCCCCTCAATTCTCTAATTCTAAATATTGTGTCTAACTTACTACTGTAGCCCCTAATGCCTAATAAGTATCTATTATACAATGGGTCCTAAGTAAATATATGTGAAATGAATATATGAAGCCTTTTTTCCCTAAAAGCTATCCTTCAAAGTCTTTATTTTCTAAAAAATTATATATTTATGTAAATATAGTTTGTAAGATATCAAAAAATCTTGGATTGAGCAGAAGTATAGATAAATTACTTAGCTCTTATTTATGTAACACTATAGTTTTTACACAATTCACAAGTATAGATAAATTACTTAGCTCTTATTTATGTAACACTAAAGTTTTTACACAATTCACAAGTATAGATAAATTACTTAGCTCTTATTTATGTAACACTATAGTTTTTACACAATTCATACTGTTTCCATCACCAAAATGTTACCAATATTAACAACAACAACAACAACAACAACAAAAAACAAATACAGTAAGACACCCAGGTATGTAAATTTATTACAAAATTTAAATTCACCAGATTATATATTATTTATTTGTATATCCTTGCAGAGAAAGTATGCACCAAATAGTAAATTTTAATTATGGATTTTAGTTATGATTCTTACTAGATTAAACCATATACTATTTCATAACTTCTGCTGATAAAACATCACTCAGTGAAATAAAGGTAATTAGATACCATATAATAATTTTTTATAATTCTTAAAAATATTCTTAGTACTTTCATAGGAAAGTATAATCATGTAATTATGTTGGTGTCAGGGGATAAACATAACAAATTAGACTAATAGTGTCTTGTCATTTCTCTAATGGATTTAGTTTTATTTCTGAAAAATCAATCTAATAAGGTGACTATATTATCATTTCAAATAAAAATTAATTCTTAGAAGCATCTTGCCAGCACCACATAAAAATAAAAATAAATAAAATAAAGGTTATAAAAAAGAGCCTTGCTTCTCTAGAACAACTGCTTATCTAAAAATAAATTTAAAAATCTACATTTTAAATAAAGCATAAAAAGAAATAGTATGAAAATTTCCAAGACATTTAAAATATTTGTTGTGAAAATAATAAAGAACTATTCCAGTTACTCTGACAAGGTAGGAAAAGCATGCAAGCTACCTGCATCATGACTTTCAAGCGGTCAAAAGGAGCTGTGAATGTTTGTGCCACTGCACTAGCTATTCCTGCTGCCACCAATTGTTTCCACCAATCTCCAGACTGCCTTTCTTGTTCAGAAAATTCATCTGGAATTGCTATACTCTCTCCTATGTCAATTAGCTGATAAATGCAAAAAATAATTAGATAATAAAGTATGAATACTTGATAAATTAAAAGGACAACTTTTTACAAAGACCAAGAATAAATTTTCACAAGAACCAAAAACTCCAAAATTCTCTTTTATGTCACCTCCTATTACTCAAGATTGACAATTTGTTTAGCACTTGTACTAGACCAAATGATTATGAATAACACACCTTACAAATTTAATGGTAAAATTATTTCCATTAAATTAGAGTTATCAACTGAAAATTCTCAAACTGTTTGGAAAATCTCTTCCATGATAAACATAAACCCTGAGAGCAGGAATCATGTCCAAGTCACCACAGTTTCTGTCACATCCTAGGGAAGGAATAAACACTTAATAAATTTTCCCTGCTTTTGTTCAAATTCTCTCAAATTCTATTGTACACTGAAACCTAAGTCAGAATTCAAGAATAGTATCTTATTCTTAAAAAAAAATTTCTAAAAATTAAAAAAATAGTAATAATTCCAAAGGGCATCCGGGGGGTAAGCATTTTATATGCTTCATTATTATTTACATTCATTTTCTCTTCAAAGTCAATAATTTTTCTTTCTAAAAATCTGCACCAGGGCTGGGGATGTGGCTCAAGCGGTAGCGCACTCTCCTGGCATGCATGCGGCCCGGGGTTCGATCCTCAGCACCACATAAAAATAAATAAATAAATAAAGGTATTGCGTCCATCTACAACTAATTTTTTAAAAATTAAAAAAAATCTGCACTATAATAGGTTTTGCATTTCACTTCACTTTAGTAACCATATTCGATTTTGCTAAGACTGTTTTAGCAATATGTTTCAGTTAAAAAACTGCTGAACTGGACTCAGAGGATACAGATTCCATTACTTTACAATTACGGTAGACAAGTTACTTTGCTGCTTCTTAGTTTTCCAACTTTTGTTTATTTATTCAAGTAGTTCCCTCCTTTGCAAATACCTTTCCAATTCAGACCCTTTGTACTCGAGTTTCCCTCTGCCTACATTTCTCCTTGATCTTTCTGTCACTTCCTCTCCAATATGTAGCACAATTTAAACTGATCCATATATTTCTGTTTATTGCTTGAGTACTTCATTAGCAAGTAAACCCAGTGAGGGCAGCAACCTGATCTCCTGTGTTTACTGTTGTAAAACTAGTATTTTGGTACATGAAGATAAGGGTTCTCAACAAATATTTGTAGGTCAATAAATGAATATGCCAGGCCCTGGTCTATATATAAGTGATAAAATGATTCAGAAGTTAGTTTCTGCCCCCAGGAACTTATAGTTCCATTACTAATATTATCTCTGTAATAAAAGAGGAAAAGAAACAAACTATAACACAATGAAATAAATACAATAACAAGGACAGCAAATAAAGGCTTCTTAAGAACATAATACAGAGGTATTTAATAGAACATAGGCTTTATTTATTTATTTATTTATTTAGGAGGGGAATTAAAGTAATTCAGAAGCAGCCAAGCCTCAATCTAAACCCAAGCATTCTGACCTCAGAGGCTACCTTCCTGTTCATCATACTATACTATCTCCCTGTAGAACTAGGAATTAATTGTCCAGCATGGTGGAATACACCTGTAATCTCAGTAGCTCTGGAGGCTGAGGCAGGAGAACCAAGAGTTCAAAGCCAGCTTCAGCAATTTAGGAAAGCCCTAAGCAACTTAGCAAGACTTTGTCTTAAAATATAAAAGGATCTGGGGATGTAGCTCAGTGATTAAGCACCCCTAGGTTCAATTCAATGCCCCCCAAAAAAGGTAGGGATTAACCAAGGGAATATTTAGGCAAAGGAAATAGTGTGCTCAAAGATATTACATATTCCAATAGCTACAAGACTGTATGTGGCATGGAAAGAGAGTAAGAAGCACAAGACTTAATGTTGAGGTTCCTGGTTTAGGCAACTAGGGAGGTGATGAAAAGTGAAAAAACAAAAGGTCTGAGGGAATGATAATGAGTAGTTTACACATGTTGTGCTTGTGGTGTCTCAACTGGTATCCAAGAAATACTTGCATATGCTGCTGGGCACAGTGGCACATGCCTGTGATCCCAGCAATTCAGGAGGCTAAAGCAGGAGGACTATAAATTCCAGGCAAGCCTCAACAACTTAGTGACACCCAGACCCTGTCTCAATAATTTGAAATTTTGTTAAAAAAGTTGAGGGCTGGGATTGTGGCTTAGAGGTAGAGTGCTCGCCTAGCACGGGCGAGGCCCTGGGTTTGATCCTCAGCACCACATAAAAGTAATAATTAAAATAAAGGTATGGTGTCCAACTACAACTAAAAAAAAGTATTAAAAAAAGAACTGATGATGTAGTTCAGTGGTAAAGCACCCCTGGGTTCAATCCCCAGTACCAAATACCAACCAAAAAAAAAAAAAACAAAAAAAAACTTGCATTACACAAAAGGAAAGTATAGTCTAACAACAAGATGTGGAATTATCAATCAGCCTGTGTTTGATTATTCAACCTGAGAAATATGTGGAATCGCCTATGGGAAAAATGTATAGATTGAAAGGCAAAAAAACAAATAGAGAAAAGAAAGCTGAAGATAGAACATAAAAGAAAACATACATAAAGGCAGACTGAGGAAGAAGATACTTGGGAGGAGACTGAAAAGCAATGGCTAGCAAGGTCGGAAGAAAACCAGGAGGATACAGTGCTGAGGAAGCTGGGGGAGGAGGACATTTAAAAAGCTAGACAGTGGAAAGATCAGAAGACACCCATAATACTTAAGAAGAGGCAGGTGGGCTTGGTTAGAATCTCTACAGTGTGAAAATAAAGCCAGACTATAGTTGGTTGAGAAGCAAATGGCAAGTATAACTTAAGGGGGGTGGGGAAGATAAGGTAGCTGGGAGCCATGACAGAAGACTCTATTTTATTTTAATGGTACTAACTTAACTATGTAAAATGTTTTGTTTAAATGCAGTGGGCTTACATACAGGAAATAAGGGGATAATGGAGAGAATAAAGCCTCTGATAAGGAAAGAAAATGGATTCAGAGTGTAAAGATATAGTTTTAAAAGTAGAAACATCCATTTTTTCTAACAAAGAAGGAGAGAGGGAATCACAGGGGCAGGTACACAGTTTTTACATTTTGAAAAGATCACTGTGCAAAAAGAGATCATAACCTGGCAAGAGTGGAAGTAGACAAATAGTTAGAAGGCTACTGTAACAGTTAAAGAAAGAGAAGACAATGGCTTAAACTAGGAGAGCAGAAGCAGAAATGGCAACATGATCAGATTCAGGATAACTTTAACAGCTACAGGATTTCCTGACAGTTGTGGATATCATTGTTAAGAAAGTCAAGGGGCTGGCATTCTGGCTCAGTAGTAGGGTGCTTGCCTAGCATGGATGAAGCCCTGGGTTCAATTCTCAACACTATATATATATATATATATATATATATATAATAAAGATATTGTGTCCATCCACAACTAAAAAAAAAAAGAAGAAAATATCAAGGATAATTCCTAGGCTTTTTGGTCTGTTAAATCGTGTGATCATTGAATTGAGGAGAAATAGATAGGGATGGATTATTGGAATGAATAATTGTTCTAGCCATTCATGGTGGTGTATGCCTGTAATCCCAGCAACTCAGGGGGCTAAGGCAGAAGGATCTCAAGTTTGGGTCCAACCTCAGCAACTTAGGGAAACCCCTCAGTAACTCTGGCTCAAACTAGAAAAAAGTGGGGGTGGGTGGGTCCTGGAGATGTGGCTCAGTGGTAAAGCAACTCTGGATTCAATACTCAGTACCTAAAAAAATAAATCCAACCTTTACTTGAATGCCAGGTTCCTATTTTGGGAGAACAAACTCCAAACAATATTTCTTAAGAGAGAATGATAAAAATTTGGTCATTAACTAGACAAAAATGTCTCCTTCAAAATTAGATGAATGAGGGCTGGGATGGAGATCAGGGGCACGAGGCCCTGGGTTTGATCCCCAGCACTGAAAACAAGAATGAAAATTATAACATCTCCCCGCCCCCTCCACTATTACATGGTATTTAGGATTAGCTAGCTCTTGGCTGAGTTTTCTGCCTTCATGTTTATAACTGAATTTCTCTAAATGAAAATCATCCATTTCATTCTGGCATAGACACTAAACTAATCATAGTACATTATTCTAATGTATTTAACAATGACACTCATTTCCCATTGAAGAAGGTGCACAATGAAGACAATAAAAACTAGATGAACTATCATGATAAGATCCGCAGGACAAGGCAGCAGAGGTCAAGAAGCACCAGGTTGCACAATCATGGATGAAAACAATTTTTCAGAAGATACAACTTATAAGCAACAGGAGGATTTACCTTAGGATGGTGATCTCTCCCAAATGAACATACGCAATTATTACAATTTTACCGCAAATACTGACACCCTTGACATTATTCCATTAGGAGATGACCCTCAAGTAAAGGCTGCACATGCTGAAACATACAGAAATACAGCCATGGCCACGATGTGGGATAAAGTTACTAAAAATGCTACCAATAAAAAGTGTGATAAAGAGAATCAACACACCATGACTCTTCGTGTTCTAGCTACTAAAGGAGCTACTTCAACGTCAAACATTTCTGATATTTTATTCCATCATCTTTCCAAAGAGAAATTCTTAAGAGGTTAAAGTATTGATTGTGAAACTCTCCCAGAGACATCTAATGCTGACAGTTTTGATGAAGCAGCAATTATTAAAAAATATTTCACATATTAAGAATTCTTTCCCAAAATCATAGTCATATTCTCATTCAGCATATAGTCATATTCTCATATTTTTTTTTTTTGTACCTGGGATTGCACCCAGGGGCACTTAACCACTGAACCACATCCTCAGCCCCCTTTTGCTTGCGTGGTACCGAGGATTGAACTCAGGGGCACTCAATCACTGAGCCATATCCCCAGCGCTATTTTGTATTTTATTTCAAGACAGGGTTTCACTGAACCCCTTAGTGCCTAGCCTTTGTTGAGGATGGCTTTGAAATCGTGATCCT